GGTTCAGCATCTCCTGTCTTTCAAGGCCCTACGCGACGGGGCCCATCCCTTTCCCCAGGTACAGCTGAGGCTCAGGGGGCTTAAGTGACCCTGCTCCTGGCACAATGCCCACTTAGAGTTGGTGTCCGGACTTGAACCCCAGTCTGTCTGCCTCCAGTGCCCCTGCCATGCTGAACTGCTGCCCTGATGCCAGATGGCATTTACCTTTTACCTTCAGTGCAAGCAAGCGGGTCACTGAAATTGGATCGCTCACGTAACTGGTAAAGTGAAATCCCCCAAGCTGAGAAAGGCTAGTCTGAAAATAAGAATGAGCTCCTTGCGGCAGCTGGATTTGGCATTTCTGGTTTAAGATGAATGCTCAGTCCTTCTGTGGTAACCGCTACCATCCACGGAGGTGCGATGAGCTAGTCAACGCCATCCAGGGGGTAACGAGTGTTTCCCGAGGCTCAGCTTGGCCATCAGTAAAACACGGCAAGTTCGCCCTGCTGGGAGCAAGAAGCACGTAACTCCCTCACCACGGGGGCCTCAAACACTCGCCTCTTCCTCTCTTCCAACTTCTCCTGGCCAAGTGACCAGAGCTGGGTTCTTAGGCCTTAAACTGAATGCGGAAAGGCCATGGGAAGGAACAGCAGAGCTGCTGATGTGCCCGTTTGGAGGCCTCGTCAGTGCATTTTGGCTAAAAGAAGAATGCCGTGCACAGAGCAGGGTGCTGGGAAGCGGGGCGGAGCCAGCGTGAAAGCACGAAGGCGGCTCATTCCCCTCGCCCAGCGGGCCTGTGGTGGTCTAGGCGGGGCAGGGCCTAGGACAAGAAGAGCCCACGAAGCTAGTGAGCCCCGCCGCTCCCGTCCATCTCACTGGCAGGCATGGGGTCTGGAGACAGCACTGCTCATATTCTGTCCTGACACAGCCCCAGGTTTGAGAACCATGTTAGCCCCCAGGAAACAGATCTGGAGACTCAGGACGAGGAGTCAGGCTTTCGTTGGCTCTGTTTGGAACAGAGGGCTCTGGAGGTCCCCATGCGTGGGGTTACAAGTGTGGGCTCTCTAGCCGGACTCCCTGCTCTGGCCCCGACTTGCTGTGTGACTGTGGGCAACTCTGGGGACTTCTCTGTGTCTCAGTCTTCTCAGCTTTAAAGAGAATGGTAACAGCCCCTACCTCTGAGGACTAAGACAAGAAAAGGCAGGTAAAGTACCAGGTAGCATGCTCAGCCCCTGGGCACTGGCCAGTGCTGGCTGGGAAAGCAGCTCTTGGCAGCAAAGAGCATCCCGTCGGGGAGCCCAGCCTCTTGCCTCTGTTGGCGGAGATCACCTGAGCCCCTCCTGACCTGGGGAGCTTGGCCGCATGCGCTTTCTCCCGGACACTTTCTCCAGCCCCACCTAGGGAGTCGGTCGGGTGTGATTTTCACGACCCTAATCATTAAGGCTTCTCTCTGTGAGCCAGCTGGTCTGGCTCCGAAGCAACACAGTCAGGCTACACATGTTCCCCACTGAACACAAAAGAAACCAAAAAGGCTCACAATGTTAGATGGTGACACGGCTCCAGGCTGAGGATCTTTCCTGCTAGGATAAGGGCTCCAGTGCTGAAGCTGGCACTCCCCCAAGCCAGCTGCAGAAGTCCACGAAAACAGCTGGCAACAGGCCTATAACAAAATCAAACCAAAGTGCTCCTGAACTGTGGACAAGGGCTGGCCGCTCACCCTGGCCACCCCCACGGGCGCTCCCATTGAAGGACCGATCCCTGGCGTGGAGTACTCTGCTTGGTGATGCTTCCCGAGACCTGGATGAAAAAGACACGGTGTCTCTCCTCTGGGGACTGCCACGGCCATGGGCATCCAGGGCCCTCAGCAAAGAGGTCAGCCCCCACCGGGAGCTTCCCTTGGGCCACATTCCCAGACAAGCACTTTACGGCCACCTACTCCTTGGCTTCTCTACAGAAGAAGGAGGCAGAGTGGGACACGGAAGAGTCCAGAGGACAGTTGGGGCAAAGCTTCCCGGGGGCGGGGGGGATAGTGACTGAGCCTTAGGACCTGTAAGAGTGGGACAGGAGAGCAAAGGTGGGCAGGGAAGGCCAGACACAGGCAACAGTGGGAGTCAAGGCCAAGGACGCAGAGTGGGCCAGGAGTTGCAAGCACTTTGGGGCCCGAGGGACACTGAGTCTAAGGAGGTAGATGGAGCCACAGCTTACGGGCCTCCAGAATCTTCCGAGCAAGTGTGAACATGATCAGGCCTGCGTCATAGCAAGGTAATTCTCAGAGAAACGGATGGTTTATTGGAGCAACCAGTTTAAGAGTCAACTGTACGAGTTCGGACAACGAATCAAGAGGGCCTGAACTTGGGGAGGCCTGAGAGCAATGGAAAAGAGGAAGCACGAAAGACGGTATTCGGGGCAGGGAGACATCTGACATGGTTCCCAGGGATCCCTGGTACCCTCCGCAGCCTGTAATCCCCTGCTGGTATTCACATCTTCATGCTCGCGTCTAGTGAACAGAATACTGCACACGTGATGCAATGTCACCTCCCAGACTAGGTTATACAGACTGTGACTTCTGACTTGCTGGCACTCCCCCTGCCTCTCTTGCTGGCACATTCTCTCTTGCTTGCTCTGATGAAGCCGGCTGTCATGTTGTGAGAGGCTCTATGAAGAGGTCCACGTGGCGAGGAACCAAGGGACGCCTCTGGCCAGCAGCTCATGAGGGACCGAGGCCTCAGTCCAACAACCCACAAGGAACTGCTTCCTGCCAGCAGCCACAGCAGTGAGTTTGGAAGCCAGTCCTTCCCAGTTGAGCCTTAAGATGACTGCAACCTTGTGAGAGACCTGGGGCCAGAAGGCCCTGCTGAGCTGTGCCAGGATTCCCAGCCCCCAGAATCTGTGAAGTTACGTATGTGTCTTGTTTTAAGCAGCAGTTACGGGCTAATTTGTTACGCGGCCATAGGTAACTAATACAGGCGGGGGTCAGAACAAATGAAAAGTGGGAACTATGATAGACACTGCCCAGGGAGAAGTGGCTGAACTGAGTGATTGACAAGACTGTAGGAGATGAGCGAGACATCATGGGGATCTTGAGAAGAGCACGGGCTCTGGAGCAAGCCCGCCTGCCTTCAAGTTGCTGCTGGGCCTCTCGCTAACTGTGTGACTCTGGGCGAGTCATTTCAACACTCTGAGCCTCAGTTACTTTGTCTGTAAAACGGGGATGGTAAGAGTAACTACCTGACACGTCTCTGACAGTTTCATTTAGGACCTGCCTCAGCACCTGGTGCAGGGGTGAATGGCACGCTGCCGCTGCCCAGCAGACGTTTGCTGTGACACTTCTAGAAGGCTCGGTGTGCAGCCTTATGCCAGCTGGGAGAAAATTTAAATGCTTCAGTGCAGTTTCCTTGCATCCTATGAAGGCTTCACTGGTCCTGGGTGAGGGAACGTGCCTCACGGCCCAGTTCTGTGTGATTCTGACTCGTCTGCCCTGGTTCCTTCCCCTGGCGGCAGCTTGTGGGTGAACTTTTCTCCCAGGGAAGCTAAGCAACCTGCACGGGAACTGAAACCATAACCTTGACCTCATGAATACTGCGCTTTGACTGCGCAGAGTAAGTTGGCTTCAATAGACTTTTCCAGAGTGAAGTCCACTCTCAAAGAGGGCTACAGCCTGGATCTGCCTCCAAAGGCGGCTCTCAATACCATGAAACATGGTTCTTATTTCCAAAACCAAGGGACGCAACCAGAGGTGAGATCGGCTTACCTGTCTGGGCAGAGAAGGCATGGAATCCGAGGCCACCGACCGCTGAACACGCTGTGGCTGCTGTGTCACGTGCTGCAGAAGGAATGAAGCAGCGTCCGGCTGCTGCTGCAGCTGCAAGCTGGCTGTGGCCGTGGACGAGGCCGTGGCAGAAGAGGCCGGCGTCAGCGTCGGCTGCTGCAGGTAGTGGAGCAGGGCAGGCTGCCGAGACGCGGCGGGCACCGAGGGCATCTTCGGGGGGCCCGGCTCAGAGACGAAATGTGACAAGGGCTTGGTGTGGCCGAAAGTAAAAGGCTCCGGGGCTCCCGGGCTGGGGGCAGCCAGCCCCTGCTGCATGATCAGGCTCAGGGTTCTGGGTGAGCTGGTGGCCATGGGCTTGAGGACGGCACTGGCTGACGGAGGCGGAGGTGGCGGCAGCTGCAGCTGCGGCTGCTGCGGGCCAAGAGGATTGCTGGTGGGAGTGAGGCTCCGGATCAGGGGACACTGTGGGGTGAAGGACTGCTGCGGCAGGCCGGGGCTGGACAGCTTCTCTGGGCGGTAGGGAGTGGAGGACCCCGGGTTGCTGGTGGGCAGAGTGGATATCAGGTGCCCTTGAGGCTGTTTGATGGTGGAGGACACCAGGTTGGCAAGGATGGAGGGCTGCGGGCTGAACTGCGGCTGCTGCTGGAGCGCGGGGCTGGGGAGCTTCTCGGGGGCATAGGTCATGGCCGGCCCCAGGGCAGCGCCGCTGCTGGGCGCCACGCTGGACAATAAGGCATTGGGAGAGCCCTGCAGAGCACTCGCCGGCAGGCTGCTCGATGACATGCAGGACACCATGAGGCCCTGAGGGCTGAACGGCTGCAGTGGCTGTGGCGAGGGCAGCGGGCGGTAAGGCGGGGAGAGGCCGGGAAGAGGCAGGCCAGACCAACTGGGAGCGGGGCCCTGCTGCTTCGTACTGCAGCCCTGCTTGCTGGCCGCCAGCACCTTCAGCTGGTGGGCGTGATGCCACTGAGGCACTGGGAGCGGTGGCAAGGCAGCCGCAGGGAGCGGAGCCTGGGCCTGGCTCTTGGCCTGTGATGTTGAGGAACTGGGGGAGACCATCTGCTTACTGGTGGAGGGAATGACGTAGCTGATCCCCACAGAGGAGGGCGGGATTTGAAGCGACACCCCAGGGACCTGGCTGCAACTCGAAGCGAAGTCCTTGCTGGAACCAAGGCTCTCCAAGTGTGGCATCTGAACCGCAGGCTTGGGAGTCACGCCTAGGGTTGCCGGGGGGTGATCTAAGACCAGCGGTTCTTCCGGCTTGCTCCCCAGGATTTTTTCAAGGTCGAGCTCACTCGGAGAAGGTTCTTGAATTTTTGTTAGCTCCTCCAGCAGATCTTGAAGCTCCTGGTCCACAGCAGGCACAGTGTTGGTCTTGTCATAGTAAGAAAGAGGGGGGCCTTTCAGTCCCATTTCCGCAGTTGGTGGCACCACAAACGGTGAGCCCATTACGCTGCCGTTCATGGGGTTATTTTCGAGTAGTAATGAATGGCCAGCTGCTCCCATCGCTGCAGAACCAGGGTTCATGGGTAACGCAGGAACCTGCAGCTCTGCACAGGCTGTGCTGGGATGGGCGCCGGGGCCCATTGAAAGGGTGACATCTTCAAGGCATGGTCTCTTAATTTTATTAGGGTAACCTCCTTCGGCCATGCCTGAAAGCTGGAAAGTTTCTCCTTCCTGCCTCCTCTTAATGGTTCCCTGTGGCTGGAAGAGAAAAGAGGGGTGGGAAGGAAGGGAGGGAGGGAGGGAGAGGGAAGTGGGGAGGCAGAGGAATGTTTATAAAGGCTTGGCACATTAAAGCCATTGAACAGGAAATTTGCAAGATAAAACAGATCTCTCAGTTTCAAGACTTAGAAAGAGTTGTCAAAACTATACAATACAGCCTATTTTTAGAACCATGATGCTTGTTTTTTTGTTGCTGTCTTTCATTTAGACTGCCGCCTTACAGTTCAAATAAAGCATTATGCTGTCTCTACACCAAACACTACAGAAAGTCACGCGAAGGATATTCTCTGCCCACTTAAAGGAGCTTTTGGAGGGCAAAGGAGAATCGCTAAGAAACTTGCAATTCCCACCTGTCTACTGGTAACCTGATTTTTAAAAAGGAAAAGCGTGACGTAGACAGTGAACTTTTAGGTTGCTTCCCTGTCTTGGTTAAATGCATCAGGCTCTAGTGGGAAAATGGGATGAAGCAGAGGCTTTGGAGGAGTGACGCAGATCTGGCGTGTTCTTTTGGGCAGCTGTCTGAGAGACACTGTTTAGAGCGTAACACAACTGCGTAACAGTAACTATAGCATGGTTCCATTGATCTGTACACGCACAGACACACACATGTGCATGCACATACACACACATTGCTATGAGTGCACAAAAACACCTTGGAAGAAAGTATATGCAACTCTTTGGAGTAGTCATCTTTTGGGGGTGACTGGAAACTCACTTTCTATTCTCTGTATTTTTCTATAGAAGCTTGTTTTTAATGGAATGACTTACAATCCTCCACCAAAAAAGTATAAAGCTATCTAATTAAGAAATGCCTCTGTGCAGATGCATCCTCAGGTCGGGGAGATAGGAAACAACAGGAAAAGGCCCCGATCTGTGATCTGCACTTGGGGGAACTGCCCGCCATTTATAAAAGCCTAGCCTTTGGGAGCAAATCAAAGAAGTTACTAATGCTGTATTTCCTACACTTTCAAGGCTTCATACAGTCATCCGTGGCTGTCTTGTAAATGACCATGACCTGCAGTGAAGGGGAAGGGAGTGGAGTGGAGGATTATGTGTGGGCAGAGATGGGCTTGGAAATCACCTAAAGGCCAGCGCTCTACCAGATACATTTCCCCTGAAGCACTTTTGCACGAAGAAACCTCTTTCCAGCTTTGAAGTCTTACTGGGACATCCGGTGCGGATCCTCTGACATCCCCTTACGTTTGCCTCACTGGAGGGTCAAGGCGTGCGTGAGGGCCACCTACTAGCATGACAGTGGTCATGACTCTTACAGCAGAGTGAACGTCAAAAGAGATCCCCTAGGGCTGCACATCTGGAGCCTTGGCACCCGTCAGATGCACTTAGAAACCCCCAGATTCCCAGGCTCTCCTACCACAGCTGAACTGCTTGTCTCCTCCGGGCCGGGGCCCAGGAGCCCAAGGTTTGTTACAGCTGCCTGGCTGGCTCTCAGTGGACTGCCAGGTTGACAGCATGGGTGCAGGCAGGATGGCCTAGGGCCCTGGTCCCGAGGCAGACGCAACCACTACGTATTGGCCTCCACACTGAATCTCTTGAGTTCTGTTTCTTCATTTGTAAAATGAGCGTCATTTTAGTTCTCATCTCACGATGCTGCTTGGACTATTATGTGAAACGGGACAGACTCCATGGCACCTAGTGGACCCTCATTAACTAGTAGCCGGCATTACAGAGGGCAGATCTGGAAGTGCTCTGGGAGTCCAACCCTGGCCTTTAAAGACAGGGAGGGACCCTGAGACCCTGGGATGGGCAAGGCTTGCCCCGAGCGGCTCAGCTAGAGGGCCCCAGGGCCCGGGCAGATCCAGGGGCCTGCCACCGTCACTCAGCTGTTCCCTGACCCGCAGCCTCCATCCTCCCCCACTGACCACCCCATCCCTGCAGAAAGGGCTCCCCCTCTCTTAGCGAGGGGACTTGCCTACTCCTCTGCCTTTCCTTGTGAGATGTCCACCACCCAGCCAAGGGCACTTTGAGGGGCAAGTCTGCCACCAGATTCATCTGAGGCCCGACTACCACAGGGCAGGCAGGAAGGGGCTGGGGGCTGAGGTAGAGTAGGCAGAGGGAGAGGCCTCTCCAGTCATCTGCTCCACTCTCCCACCCAGGAGTGCTCACTAGGTATTTGGCCCACGGCAGGTGCTCAGCAAACAAGCTGAATGAATCCATGGACCAATGAACACCAATGACTCAGCGCCCAGCGAGCTCTGCCTCGTGTTTTCCTGGCCGTTCATTCAATCAATCATGGGCCACAGAGAAGTCACTGCATTTCAGGCTGAAATTTGGTCTCTTCTACGTTCCCCCAAAGACTTAAAACAAATCCATTATATTGAAAACAGAAATGTCTAAAATGGATCAGTAAGGAACGACTCAGTGTGGGCTTTACATAGGATCCCCTGCCGGGAGTCCGAGCTGGCGGTGGCCATGCCCGAGGCGCTGTTCGTGATGTCTTGGACTCAAGGAGAGTTTAATGCCAGTGGAGTCTGCATAGGACCAGGCGGGGGGAGGATGGGCTTGGGGGATGGGAGGGAGGACAGGAGCTGTGAGTTGGAACGGCCTGGACTCCCTGGCAGATACTAGGGCTTTCATTTACTTGTTGGTCTGCCATTATCCTGTTGGGACTAAGGTGGTAGGAGGTGGGGAAGGTGGGACATGACCACCAGATGCTAAAATTGATACTGGGAACCACTGGCGAAGGAAAAGGGTCTCCAGCCCTCTGAAGTGAGAGTGTGTGCCCCCGACTTTTCAGGCCCTCAACCCCACAGCGGACCCCAGGATGCCCCTGCGAGGTGCTGGGGGCTGCCGTGCTGCTGGTGGATACCATCTGCTGGAGCAGGTGCTACCCTTGCTGTGCCAAGCCTGCAGCCGGACGCCGCTGGTGCTACCTTCCCTGAAGGCTTTGGGGGGCTCCCTAGTCGGCGGGCAGGCTGGCCTTGCTGTCCCTGGGGGTGCAATGGGGGGCGCCGGTTGACGCCGCAGTCTCAGCGGTGGGGCAGGCAGGAGCCTCTTCCCAGATTTCCTTTCTCAATGGACTAAACGAGACTCCACTTTGCCAGAGGCTGCAGCTCTGCATTTCGGATTTCACGGGGAGAGCTTTCAACAGATTGCCTAAAGCACCTTGGCCGGATGGCCAGATCCCCAGGCAAGCCTAAACAAGCCGAGGGGAGGCGGCTGTGTTGACATCTACTACGAGTTAATTTCGCCCCTAGACCCAGGCTGCTGCCATCACCGAGGTCAGCCTGTCTGGGCTGTTGGGCTTGACTGAACCCCGTGGCCACCCTTCTAGATAAAGGGCAGCAGAGAGCTTGCTACCCCTGAATGACTTCCCCTCTCAGCATCACGTTGGGGGTGGCAGGTCCCCACCAAACTTCCAGACCCTTCTAGACAGCTTTACCTATGTGCCGTTTTCCAGTCTCTGTGAACTCTGTACAGCAAGCTATGGGTCCCAGCTCCCAGCCAGCCCCTACTTCCAGGCCTTCTACCACACGTGACCCTGCCCACTCACTGGGAGAACTTTTTGTTTTGTTTTGTTTTGTTTTACCGTAAGTGAATCAGTAGCCGCTAGCAGGATTGCTAGACAACACATGTCAACCTTCACTTTTTACAGAAAACAGAATGGGTGGTGATTTGCTTGTGGTCCCACGGCCAGTTAGGGGCCAACACCAACACTAGACCCCAGGAGGCCCAGCCCTCACAGGTCCGGGTAGTGGTAGGGCGGGGAAGGGGAGTGAGGGACGGTGTCCTGGTGTCTTTTAGAAAGGAATGACTTTATCTCCATGCACCAGTGCCGGCGGAGTCCCATTTCATAATCGGGCAGACAAAGCCACCAATGTGATCCCCACGACCTTATAAACATTCATTAAAATGCATTTCAAAGCATGTGATGCCTTCTCCACCCCCTAAATAATGAGAAAACAAAGGCAACCCTTCTGATAGAGGCCAAGTTCAGCTCTGAAGTCAACATTATTTCTGGTTCTGTCTGAACAATGACATATGGCAATTCTTCCCTTTCTACATTTTTTTAGTCCAGAATGGCAACAAAAGGCAAAGATTTCTTGGGAAAAAGGGTCTAGATTATAAGAGTCCAGTCCGGGCTCAGGAAGTGGGCATGAGGAGAACATATATATATATAATATATATATATAATATATATAATATATATAATTATATATATATATAATATATATATATATATATAACTCTTTCCAAAGAAGTCTGGCAGGTTGCTATAAACACTGGATTCTGAACACTCTAGCTGGAGGTTTAACACAGACATCTACAAAAGGCCAGCAAAAATATGCACGGTCCCTCCTGGGTAAGAACGCAGGAAGCCGAAGGTGTGCAGGAGAGACTGGCTCAGGGAGCCTCGTTTTTTCCCTCCAGACAGCCCCGGGCAAGATTGTCAAAAAGCTGGAAATTGCCTGTGGCGTATTTAGTCTCCCCTTCCTCTGTCAGTAGCGCCTCCTGCGGTGCAGCCCCGGCCAATCTGCTTCTGCTTCTGCTTCTGCTTCTCTCAGTGTCTCTCACACGAGCCCACCCATGCTCCATCAACACCTTTCCTCGGTACAGTTACATATGCTCCCTGGGAGTTTCCAAGAACCTCACGCTGGCCAACTAGCTTGGATTTCAAGCCCTCTGAGACAGGAGTGTTCCCCGGTAGACTTGCTCAGAAGAAAGGAGAACAGATAAGACACGATGCAGCAGGACTGGGTTTGCAGGAAGAGAGACAAGGAGGGAAGGAGGGAGAGAGAGGGAATCTGCCTGCGTGTAGACATGGGATCAGATGAGCACCGATAACTGCCTGTACTTGAGCTCGTGTATCATTCGCATGGTTGCTTTTCAGAACGATGTCCCCACGAACTGGTCTTTCTGTAGGACAAACAGGACTTTCAGCATTTCCAGAATTGCAAGACCTGAGGCTCTGGAGAATCCCAGGGTGGATGGCAACTGCAGGGAACCCTGACTGGCTTCAA